ATCCTTCTAGGAGTTGGACATTCATCGATATATGCAACACACAAACACTTGACCGATACTTATATCGATACGTTCAACTGTTCATAATACACGTACAAACTTATGAATAAAGTCTATATCATTTGGTAGGTAATAATCTATTGAATCAGTAAACAAAAAGAAGCATGACAATGATTTGCAGTTTAATTAGCAGTTGTTTACTAAGCACTCAACACCAAACTGATTTGTGAAGCAAACTCACATAGATGGTAACAGGGCTACCGAGACAATTTTTTGAGGACGCAAAATTGAACTCAAATTTGTACAAGTTGTTATTTTGACTGGAAATCCTTACCCACCAACTGGCTAATGACACATGTAGTCATTATTCTGTATCCAAAAGACATAAGTTCTGTAAGCCCAACTGTACGTGTAATATTATTTTGTTTTTAGAGAAAAAGGTCATAGTATTGTTTTATTCTGAAAATTATTTAGTACGCAATTGCGTACTTTGCGTATAGGTAGCGTAGAGAGAGGGGGGAGGGGGGGGGGCGGGGGGGGCCCCTGGAAGATAGCTCAGTTTAAAAGGATAGTAGACTTCTAGGATTTAGCTGCATACAACTGTACTACTAGTACTACTGGAAACAATCGTCTTATCACCCACACGTATTTTGTTACAGATACCTAATTCTAATTGTTTATAATTAATCTAGCCATAAATACTAGTCGAAATTTGAACGGCGCCCATGCACACCCGCGACCGTGCCTGCCACCGCCGAAAAAGTTGACTATTTGGACCATTTATTTTGCCGTTACAGACGGAGGGCAATCACAAAGTGGCAATTAATATTTATACCTAATGCTAATTTAACCGAACGACATTCATTTTAGGGCAAATTTATCCATATTATAACTGAAACTATATGTCGTTTATAAGATATTACAATCCTTTTGCTTTTAAATTAATAAATAAGAAACACCCTCGGTCTGTAGCCCTTGACTGAAAAGTGGTTTTGTGCAATTTATCAGATCGTGCGCTTCGAGTGGCGCCACCGTCATTGTAATCAAACTGTAGTCGTTAGTTTTAAAACATTTTTTAATAATATTTCTAATGGTGATTGAACCATGAAACTTTTTATGTAGCGTAATGTTAACCTAAATTAACTGAAAATAACCCTAGAACCTAGAGTAAACTATCCCTTTAAGTTTATAGTTTGCTTGGTATCTTTCTCTTGTACGTATTGAATCGTGAAAGATTTATCATGATATGGATTGTATCACTAGTTAGATGTATCGTCCTACCCTTATTTGCTATTGACCAATGACAAGTAGTATATTAAATGGGTTTTAATTGAAATTCAACAAGCCAGTTCACCATTGTTGCATATAGTGCAAGACTGGGCCTTAGACAAGAATCAGATCAGTTTCTAGTTTTCTAGGGCAAAATACACTGGTCTACCATAGATATAGCCCATATTGAAAAACTTGGAATAGGGAAGACCATGGTTTTAAAGGCAAGAGGCTAGGTTTTAGTGTCTGCAAAAAAAGATCCCAATGCAGAATGCCCAAAAGAGCGAGTGGCCCTTTTACAAATGTAATCGCTATCGGTGTTCCAGCAGTGCAGGTCACTGCTTATAATAACACCCAAATATTTTCAAGTTGGAGTATGTGATAGTTTATGAGGTTTATGAGGTAGGTTATTCACTTTAATAAGTATTTACTAGATACTTGAGTTGAGATAAAGTGAGTAGGTATATGTTAAGAATGGTTTAGGCAACGTAATGCGTAGGATTTTGCAGTTTTCAGAATTAAAGGTCATGCCCCAAAGTTGAGGCCAACTATTAAACATAAGTAAGGATACCCTGCAGGGCTTCTTGACCACCCTTACTGCGAATTGTACCACAGGCACTTGGAACGTTTCAATACTAAAATGATGGTAAATAAACACGAAATGTATTTACTACCAGAGTCTTAATGTTTGTCTACACTCTTTCGCCTATTATTGCCGATAATTTCCTGTAAATGCCGTTGAAATGCTCCTCTGCAACACCTAAGTACACCGCACAGACGCCGCTGCATGTGCACAAACAACAAGAATAAAGACTTTTTACGAACACACTCTCAAGATTGGACACTCTCTTTATACGTGTACACCAATCTTTATTCTGGTTGTTTGTGCACAGCAGCGTGCGTGCGGTGTACTCATGACTCATGTGTTGCAGTGGAGCATATGAACGGCATTTACAGGAAGTTATCAGCAATAATAGGCGAAAGGGAGTAGAGAAACATACAGTCGACTTTGGTAGTAAATACATCTCGTGTTTATTTACTATAATTTTCCTACTGAAACGTTTCAAGTGCCTGTGAATCGTACGGGCTAAGTTAGGGTGGTCCATGGGCCCAAGGATATAAGAGCTGTTCACATTCTACTACAGTACTACTACTACTAGTACTAGTACTAGTGCTGAGAGGGTCTATGTCCCCCGGGATACTGCCGGAACGTACCCTGGGTACGGTCCGGTATACCGGAACGTACCCTGGTACTATCTAATATGCCGGACCGTACCTTGCCTACTCCACTAACGAGTCTAGGGAGTCGCCTACGCCTACTCCCTAACCCGAACCC